GATTTCTGAAACTATTGTTTCGACTTTCGTTTTTCTACTCGGTACGTTAGAATCAATTTATTATGCAGGTTTACATCGGAAATTGTTTTTTGTTTTAAGCAGCGTTTCGCTGAAATATTGGATGCAAGTATGACTCATCTGACAACGACCCTCTTTTTTATCTGTGTGCTCATATCAGTACAGCGTATTTGTCATCTCATTGTATGCATTAGCCGTTTAACCATGCCGATGTGTACCGTATTAGTTGTACCAAAGGCACACTTGAATGGCTAAAACTTTATCTGTCTCTTTAGATGCTAATTCTTTTCACCAGACCGCTAAGTGGATCGATGACGTGAGAACAGAACGTGGTTCCGATGTAATCATCATGTTGGTTGGCAACAAGACCGATCTGGCGGAAAAAAGGTATTGATGAGGCCGAAGTTGGCGTTAAACTGCGCGTAAGGGCAACATTTGTCGCGGTGATGTTGGTGGGAGAACAGTAGGACGTGGATCATAAGCCTCGCTAGTTCCTTATCGCAGTCAGCTTTATGTTGGTCACGTGAAATTATGATTTTCAAATTCAGGCCTTATTAGGCTATAGCAAGCAGTACCTAGAAAAGTTGTTCAGCAGAATTTGTACAGATTTTTTGCCAGACAAAAAATCGCCAAGAACAGCATTTGTAGACGACCAAAGTGACGTATTCGCAGCAGTCGCTCTGGGTATGTTCTTGCTGCAATAAGCTCTCGTTATACTTTTTAGCCGTGTGCGGTTACACGGCCTCAGCACGTTAACGAAGTCAAGAGTTACGTTTCGGCCAAAAAATACTTGTCACTGGAAATGCCTTTATGCACGGTTCCATATTTAAGCACAATATGACGCAACTAATGTGCAAGTGATACGTTATTTTTTTAGAAAGCGCACTCAACATGGAAATGAACGGCATGCCATGGTTTGACATTTCGGCTCAATTTCAGATTAATTTTCTTATATGTTCTCCAGAGATTTTTTGCGGGGAAGATGTGCAGTATGTCACCAAGTTCTGCTCTCTTTTGCTAATGTCTCCGGCAGTGGAAGCTGTTGAGCAGATGTTCAAGATACAACCAGGAAGGCTGGAATTGCCTATAAGATGTTGCAACAACATCTTTGGAAAGCTGCTGTCAATATGCCAGTGAATTTCCCTCTATAGCTGTCAGCTATTCGACCAGTGCTGGTGTATGCCGTAGCAACAAGGACCCTTTCCAAGATGGAAGCCAGTGCGATAGGCATGTTCGAACGATCATTCTGGTGCAGAATGCTCATATAAAGACCAGTTGATAAGGTCATGAATGCTTAGATATCATTAGAAGAAGCACAAATAAAGTGCATTGAACAGGAATTTGTATGAACTTTCCCTCTGATAAAATAAAGAAACTGAAACTCACTCTTTGGCCATACACTGTGACGGAGCAATAAGCGACTGATCAACATCATGATTCGTAATGTTCCCAACTCATACTGGGAAAGGGTGTGGGGCAAGTACAAAAATTTATGGTTTGGTAGTATTAGGGATGAACTGAGTGCAACTTAGCTACCGCATTTATCGGTAAACCGTAAGCCAAAGCTAGCGCAAAGATTTGCTTGTAGTCGTATCGAACATTGCACCCGACAGGAAGTAATGACAAATGGTTACAGGACACGCGGGGTGTTGTAACCATTTGCGACATCCAATAAGTCAGTTAAGTCCAGCTTCCTCAAGAGAACGCAACTGGTATCCATTTGCTGCACAGACATGGAAACAAAAAATAATATAGATAAAACTGCGAAACCGTACAAAGAGCTGATGATTTATAAAGCGATTAGGATCTATGAAGAAGTCCCCTCTAGAGACGAAGTGAGGAGTTCAACGCTTTCCGCTGTGATCATGTTGTTTTCAGCAGCAGTTTCCCGAACGAACAGCAGCCTGAGGAAACATGATGCGCGGTCGCAGAAAATAACGGAAAAGGCGGCACAGCTTAACGCGCACTATGTTGCCTTTACATCCGCCGTGCGCGGAATAATGCCGACCGACCTGCCGTAGTGCGGCTGCCTTCTCCCTAGGCAGCGATGATTTATGAGGATTTTAAATTTCATACAAACGGCGATAGCCCGCAAGCTTATTTCTTGTTCCTTGTTGCCGAAAAGTGCTAAGTTAAATTTGAAGTATAATACTCAAAAGTTGTTGATATTCGATCGCTGGTGGCTTCTGAATCACGTATCTTCGTTCCTCCTTGTGATTAGTCATTTGTGCGAAGAGTTAATCGCATTTGCATTTTAGACAGGTAAGCACAGACGAAGGCGAGCGAAAGGCGAAAGAGTTGAACGTGATGTTCATAGAGACAAGTGCCAAGGCTGGATACAACGTCAAACAGGTAACTTCCGCTTCTTTCTGTCGCAAAAGCGTGTCAGCAGTTTTATTTTAGCTTTTTCGACGCGTAGCTGCTGCACTACCGGGAATGGAAGAAACACCGAATAAGCCGACACAGGATGGTATGAGTTTCGTCATTTAGTTGGATTTTTGCCAAGGAATTGAGCCTGTTCTTTTGAGTGTAATTTCGAGTCCCTTTGCCTTGGAGCTCCCCGCAAACCGGCACGAAGCTGTGTAGGTACCGACGTAATTTTGTAGATGCGACAGGTTCTACAGTAAACCTTGAATAATTTAACATGCAGTTGAAGGACAGATATGTCAGATCAAGTACAAATTGGTTAATTCGAAATTTACGAAAAGTCGATATTGCCAAACCATGTTTCAGCATTGTGGAATGCAATGAGTTTCGAATCGCTAGACTAGCTGACTGTTTGATTCAGATTTCTTTTCTGTCACGCAACGAAACCGTATTTTGACCGACGGTCAAAGATGTATATGCAATGAGTACCAGAGGAATTTTAAGTAAATTCAATATTATTTTGTAGTAAAATATTTAGAATTACACCTCAGATAATCTTTGAATGACAGTCACACAAAACACCCATAAGAGCTTGAATAACAGGAATACAATAAATTAGCAGCATTTAGTATTACCGATTCAAGAAACGGATTCGAAATCGCCTGATAAAGAAAAAGTTGAAATAGAACCCTATAAGCAGTTCATTATTGGCAGTGACATCACGTAATGTCCTGTAAAATGCCCAGAAACTACATTTTATATCCTGTTTGAAAATAAATCTTTCACTCTTATGGTACAGTTGCTGTGTATTTCGAATATCTGAAGACATCTGTGACTTAAAGCTTGAGCACTGTTCGCTTTTCTACGAGCTGTTGGTAATGATGACATTTTCAGTGGTTCACATCACTTCGCAAAGTGTTCAGAAGCCTCAGACAGCCGAAGAAGGCGGTTGTTGGTGTTAATGTCGCTTTTGTTTTACTTTACGCTAGGAAACAGTTGTCACATTAACTTTGCTATAAGTGATTGTTCATGGCACTCGTGTCGCAGATGTCATGGAATTGTGATCGGATCGTTCGTGTGATATCGTTCATCAGTTTAAGCGCTATTATTGTATATGTTCTTGCTTTCTGCGTTTATCATTCCTTG